GCGGGGGCGGGGGGCGGGGGGCGGGGGGCACCTGCAGCCGGAGGGCGTCCCGCGGCTTGAAGTCGTTGGGCGAGCAGCCGCACCAGTCCACGACATGCTTGTACTGACATCTGCAGCCCAGCCTGCGGTTCCAGTTGGTGACCCGCAGGTTGTTGTCCACCAGGCTCTCGCAGGCCGGGCTGTTCTCCAGCACCGTGTGGAAGAAGGACTGCGGGGGGCGGGGCGGGCGGTGAGCCGTGGGCGCCCCGGCCCACAGCCTCCCCGGCCGCGCGGAGCGGGGGGCCCCGGGCACCCACCTCGGCGGGGAGCAGCGTGTACGTGTAGAACTGGCGCAGCTGGGCCACCAGCGGGTCGTCCGTGTACACCACGTACTCCACGAAGCTGCGCGTCAGCACGAACCAGTCCGAGCCGCCGTCCACCACGATGCCCGCTGGGATCTGCCGCTCGCCCAGCCGCCACATGTGCGAGTCGCACTCGTGGAAGAGCCGGTCCAGGCCCTGTTTCTTGATGAACCTGCGGGGGGCGGGGGCAGACGGGCCACGATGAGGGTTGTGGGGGGGTGCAGACGGACCACGATGAGCGTCATGGGGGCGGGGGCAGACGGACCACGATGAGCGTCATGGGGGCGGGGGCAGACGGGCCACGATGAGGGTTGTGGGGGGGTGCAGACGGACCACGATGAGCGTCATGGGGGCGGGGGCAGACGGGCCACGATGAGGGTCGTGGGTGGTGGGGGGCAGATGGGTCACAATGAGGGTCGTGGGCGGTGGGGGGCAGACGCGCCACAATGAGTGTGGTGGGGGGCAGGGGGCAGGCTCTCTCCTGCGCCCAGGGACCAGCATGCTTCAACCTGGGCGTGGTTGGGAGGCTCTGCAACCCGGCCATGTGTGGGAGGGGCTGCAATGAGACCCCTCACCTGGAGTTGTCCCGGCCATGTGACTTGAGGAAGTTCTTGTCCCGGTTCTTGGACAGGAAAGCCACCAGCTCCTCGTTTGTCCTGGAGAGGGGAAGGGGCACGGGCAGTGTGTCTAAGGGGACTGGCTCGGGCTCAGGCCACATCCCCCATCCCGGCACCCTCTGCCTTCACCCTCTGCTGCTCCCTGCCTCACAGAGAGCTGCCCTGCCCCTGGATGATGCTCTGTGGTGGTGGGCACCCGCAGCTTTCCTCTGCCCCTTGCCCTCTGACCGTGCACCCCAGCTCCAGGCCTCTGCCTGCTCCCTAGTCTCTTGTCACTCTCAATTCTGACATCACCTTCCACCAGCCCCTCCCCTAGCCCACGGCTGTGGTCCAGGGACCAGAATGAGGCCTGGGGAAAGGGAAGGAGTCGATCAGGCCCCTCCCACCCCAAGGACCAAGGATTCAGAGCACCGCCCCGTACCTGGTCGGGTAGTCGGTGGCACTGAGGTTGATGAAGAAGTCCCATGCCCAGCCGGGCACCTCCAGCAGGTCCTGCATGCTCCGCAGATACATCCGCAGCAGGCTGGCCCCGCCCCAGATGGTGACCATGCGCCAGGGTGTCACCCGCATGTTCTCGTACTGCCGGGCCAGCTCCACCACCTCACGGTGCAGGTAGTTGAAGCGCTGCGGGGGAGGTGGGGGGGGTACTCAGCAGCCGCAGGGTGCCCCCCCCAGCATTACAACCTCCCCACCCCACCCCTAGGACAAGTGACATGGAATGGAGAGACCACAGGGCAGGGCTCCAGCTCTAACCGGGGGCCACCCGAGCAGATCAGAGAGCCTGGCTATAGGTGACCGGCTGGGTCTTGGTGCGACTCGCTCAGATCCCTGTGTTGTCCCCCCAACAGTACCTTGTCTACGTGGATGTAAAAGAAATGCTGCTCGTGGTAGACAGCCTTGAGCAGACGCTTCAGCTGGCGGACGGCACGGCCATGAACCACCAGCATGTAGGCGATTCGGACTGGGGGGCCATCCGCGGGCTGCGGGGCCTGGACCTCGTCCCACTGGATGCCGGGGCTCATCTTCCCTGAGAGGAGAGAACAGGGCCATCAGTGAGGCCCGTCCCCAGGCCACAGGCTGGGGGTGAGCCAGGAGGACGGACTGCCTGCCTGCCTTCCAAAGGAAGGACCTCGGACTTGGAGCCTGACGCTCCCGGGGGCCCGGCTCCGCCTCGGCCGCCCAGTGCGCGTTATCACCGGCGCCGCCCGGGAGGTGGGCCCCGAGAGCTTCCTCCCCTGGGAAACGCGGGTGAAGCGCCCTGCTGCGCCACCCGCCCGGGGCTGCCCCGCCTCCGCCCGTCTCCTCCTCTTACCAGCCAGCTGGCAGCGCCGGGGCACAGCCTTGGGCATGAGGCTCCCGGCCTGGTGCAGGCACACCACGTTGGCAATCTCCTGCTGGCACTGCTTGGAGCTGGCCCGGGCCAGGGCAGACAGCGCATCCTTGCCCACGATCTCGCACTTGGGGGTGAAGCCGTTGTCCGTGGGCTGGGCGGCGCCCTCCACGCTCCCCGTGTCTCCGTGCGGTGGGAAGCCAGCCGCCCCGACCAGCGCCTCCCCGGCCGCCGCCCCGCTCAGGTTCTGGCGGCCTGGGGCCTCCGGGGCTGGG